GGGTATCATAAAGTCGGCCCCGCCCGACTTTAGGACTTTCTTTACTGGTTGAATTCTAATATGATGTGTAGTCTTTTTGGGGTACAAAGCGACAACGAATAAAACTGGGAAACTATACGAATAATATCATTTCAGAAGAGGATACAAAATGAGGAACTATTTTCACCATATAAAAATAAGTTGTGTTAGTTACTAAGCTTATAGCTCATGACAGATTTTGACAATTCATACAATTTCGGTATGGTATCTTGGAAAAAGAAAATTATGCCAATAAAACTGTGAATGAATATTTTTGAATTAAAAAATAATATTAAAAATGAAATGAGTGCGCAATACGATATTAAATAGCGATCTTTCATGTCTATAATTGGCCCAAGCTTTCAACTCACGCAAAATTAGGCGCGAATTGACATGAAAGACTACAAAATCAGAAAAAATCTCTTGTTGGTCATTTGCAAGCCCTATAGGTATTTATTCTGACCCTAACCCTGACTCAACGCCTAATTTTGTGAGGTTTGCGTCATAATTGTGACGTGTAGCGTGACTACAAATAAAAAAGTGACAGACGGACACACATAGCTAAATCGACCCAGCTCGGAGATATAGGTAGATACATATGTAAAATCGTGGGTCTAGAACTAATATTTCGAGGTTTGTGGCATCACCTAACGTTTGGCGGATTAGGTTGATATTTCCGCCACCCCCAGTTACACTTTTATTTGAAATGGAAAATCCAAAACCGGCACCCGAACATTATCTCCACGGTCTCAATCCCCATTGCAATTATGGGGATTATGACCATTTTTTCGGTGATGATCCCCATAATCCAAATAATAATGTATGACCGTTTGCTGCGTGGACTACGTACAAAAATAATTAATTTTAGAAATCTTTGATTCGCGATAGCCAGTGCCAAACATATCCAGAGTGAAAGTCTTTGGACATACCCATTATTATGGGAGTTATGTCCGCTAATTTCCAAAAAAATTGCCCACAAATGAGATTTTTTCCTGCACCCAAAATTTCATAATTCTTGTAAGTAGCCGGCCATTAGCCGGGGGTTGAGATATTCTCCTCTGAACATGTCCTGCACCGGCTACCACGAATCAAAGATTTCTAAAATTAATTATTTTTGTAAGTAGTCCATACAGCAAACGGTCATACTTCCCATGGGGGTTGTGTCTGTGTTGGAAGCGGACACTATCCCCATTATTATTATGGGGATTATGACCAAAAACAAACCGGGTATAATCCCCATAATTGCAATGGGGTTTATGTCCGTGAGGATTATGTGCGGGCACCGGCACGCCACATCTAAAACCAACGGACGTAATAATTTAAAAAAATAAATAAATAAATAAATTTTCATTTTGGAAACATAAACAATGTTTTGACAGTAGGTCAATGGGTAAAATGGGCTTTTACTCCCAAACGAAAAAAGTAAATGAACTGAAATAAAAACTTGATTGTCTGGGTAGCAATTGCTTGTCTGCCTTAAAAAAAAGTTGAACAGGCTAGGCATCGCTTTAGTAGGTCATGGTATGGTTCATAACCTCCGGATAATGGTACAACCCGATTTCAAGTATATTTTATATTTTAACCATATTTTTCATACAAATTTCCGAATATTTTGGTAATTTGACAAGAAACCATCCTGGTCTGGCCACTTTATTTATTTCTTTTTGCTCTTATTTGACATCTTTGTTTCTACACACTTTCCGAACCAATATGTGGTCAGGAAAGAAAATTTTTGTATTCTATTTAATTTGTAACCCCCAAGATAATATTGGTTGGGAACGAAGATTTTGGGATAAACTCCCAAATGTTGAACTGGGACTCAATCAGTCGGAAATTGTAGCAGAAACGTAAAAAAATTACGAATATTAGAAAGTAGCATAGGACCGAACATTTGTTTAATCGTCATTAAATGATGCTAAAATGAAAAATATGAACTTTATGGGGTCTCCAACGCACAATTTAAATGACAAAAAATTAATTCCCATATTACAGTAATGGGTGTGAAAGAATAATTGTCTTTGACTATCATTCTGCCCTCAATTATAAAGTGGACAAAACTAAATACCGCACATCCCGTTATTCTAAACAAATTCCAGCTAATTTGAATGCTAAAATTAAAAAAAATTCAGCAGGGTCTTTTTAAAACCCTAAAAACTGTGAAATGAAGTTTATAGAATACTAGCTGGCGAGTCCGCGTTGCCGGCCCGTTCTTATAGTCTTTAATGTATTTATTTAAAGCATAATAAATCACAGATCCGACTTATGTAAGCGGCACAATTTTTATTATAAGTAATGACTCCATAGTAATTTCTAAATAGAAATAAATATTCATGGCAGAAAATATAATAGATGTTCACATACCGTCGGTTTTATGAATTTTGAATAGCCTGATCTTATTTTTCAGCCATAGACTTTAATTTGAATGTTAACAACCTATATGATATAGAATATCTATAACAGCCCCAGGTGAAACCCCAGCTTAATTTTTGGTATTGTAAAGATCTTTGCAACATTTTCCATTCAAATTAGCTGTAGTTTGGAATTTGCATTTCCATAGTTTTGTCCACCTCGTAATTGGGAGCAGAATGGTTTCAGAATTGTCAAAGATAATTACTTTTTTACACCCATTGCCGTAAGAATGGAATTCATTTCTTTGTCATTTAAACTTTTCTTTTCTGGCCACACATTTGTCGAGAAAGTGGACTTGGGAGTACACTAATGTGGGGACTATACTTAATAAATGCCTTTGTGGACAATGTAGCCTACCCCAGTAGACTAAATAAAATTTTGTAGCCAAATCAATTGAAGAATGGAATCAAGGCCAAGATGGACCCAACTCAAAAAATTTTATGAGAAGAGGTTTTCTACCCTCTAAGAAATATAAATGCCAAAAAAAAATAAAAAAGTACCCATGACCCCGAAAATAGCTTGAGTCATATGATGTTTAAAAAGTGATAATTTTTTGCAAGGATGGTTTAAGAAGAATTTCTGGAAGGATAAAATCCTTTGCTTACTAAATATCCAATTCTCTCTACTATTTTTGCACAACTTACATTCGGAATTTCACTGATTCCATTCCCAATGATTTTTCCATTTTTAGTTCTCATTGGACGGATTATTGCCATATGAAAAAATTAGGTCCACGTTTTGAAATGAGCCCCATAACTTTGTCGCTTTGTCGTTCATTTTTGTTTGTTTAAATGTGTTCGCATCTTCCAGCTGAAGCACGATGCAGGTTCTAGAGTTTTAGACATGAAATGTCGCCGTTTAATATCATTTTTATTATACCCTACACCGGAAGGTGGTAAAGGCAAAAGGAAACGAGATAGACCCATACTTCCCTTTGATGATCTGCATAGAATCCCATTCTGAGTCGATTTATGTATGTCCGTCCACCTGTCCAGGTATTTTTGTAAATTGCATTTATTGCCCGATCCAGATGAAATTTTGCACTAATCATTTGTTTGATCTAATGACAAACCCTATTGAAATTGGAGAGAATCGGTCAAATTTAGAGGTAGCACCCATATATATCTTCGTCCGATTTGCTTATTATTGTGCACCAAACGTGTAATATCAGATCAAATAGTAATAGTAACTTTGCACATACGACCAAATTAGGCCTTAAAAAAGTATGCCAAATTTGATCAAAATCGGTTCAGATATATACTACGGTTCAGATATAGCTCCTATATATATGGCTCATCTGATTTGTTATTTTGTCCTCCGCAGCCGTAATATGCACTCTGGAAAAACAATTGTTGGGGAAATATATCAAATACAGCTCAGAAATAACTCTGCTAAATTTGATCGAGATCGGGACAGATGTGGATGTAGCTCCCATATATAACTTCCTCCGATTTGCTTTTTATTTTACACCAAACGTGTAATTTTAGCCCAAATAGGATGAATTTTAGCACTTACGACCAGTTTCTACAATATTCTACAATAAAGACGTCGAATCAATTTACCTAAACAAAAATATAATATTTTAATAAATTATTTTTTTATTATTATTAACTATCTTTACAAAAAATCGGTACGCCGACTGTTGGAACATGTCATACCGTTAATAGGCAAGTGCTGCCGACTACTGGCAAAAAATCATTATTTTAATTAAACTCAAAATTTATGAAATTTAATAAAAAGTTATTAAAACTTTATTTATTATTGCAAAAACTATACCAAATTGCGAAATTTTGCAATAATTGAAAAGTTCCACTCAGAATGGCGAACGATTGAAAACGCGAAAATCCTAAAATGCCGACTACTGGTACACTTTCCCTATGTTATGTTACCAAAATTTTTTGCTCTTTCGGAATAACATATTTCTTTACGTTTCGAATAATTTTTTTTTATGTCGTTGACCATATATTTGCTGTTGGAAACATTAAACAGCTATATGCTTTTTGTCCAATCTTTATATAGTTGTATAAGTTTACCCTTACTTTCAAACAGATACATATAGTGGCTAAACTTTACGGTAATATTCCTTGTTCCCTTGTTGTAAGATAACTGCAGTCTACTCTTAAACACAACAAAATCTGTCACATTTCATATCAGAAACACATAGCGTTACATGCTGCATTGTTAAGCTACTGCATTAAAAGATTTCCGCTACAACTTTCAAAACATAACAAAAATAAAATCAACAACACATTTTATCCAGTACGACTACGGCTATTTCCTCCATTGGCATTGCTGTTTTGCTGCTGTCATGCAACTATGCCAAAACCCAAAAAAAAAAAAAATAAATAAATAAAAATAGTGGTAAGTGCCTTAAAGCTTGAATACTAAAGCGGTCAAAACTAAATTTTGTAAATCATGCCAGAGGTAGGAAGGTACTACGCATATAAAGAAAATAAACTGTTAAACTTAAGATAAAATAAAAGAGAAATAATGGCGGCAGTAAATGAGACAAAAGAGAACGACTATATTTTCAATTATTTTTTGCTCTTTCACACATACGACGATAGGCGGAGTTATGAGTTGGTCAACAACATGCCACCACCAGGCAAACACCATCATACCAACAATATCAACAACAATATGAACCAAGCAAGGCATTAGAATGGTGGTAGTTGTTTTTCTTTTTTATGCCCTATCCCTCGTAGGAGTGAATGAAATAGCATGATTATTTGTTATGTTGGGCTCTTTGTTCTTACACATTCGAGGCTAGGGTCAGTCTCACTCGTAGCGTTGCGTTACGTTTCGTTGATTATGAATCAGTTGTGAATTGCCCTCACGCGGGACGACAAACCTGAGTTGTTAATGTGCGCACGTCAAATTCCGAAAAATACAAACGTACGTTCTTCGTTCATTAGTTAGTTTTTCCGTTAGAAAAGAGACAATTCTGCGGTATTTGAATAGTTTTCGTTGTGTAGCGTTCGAATGGATTGAAAAGAAATTGTAAAAAATTCCTCGATTAATTCAAATAAAAATTCTCTTGAAGCGACGGTGTTGATATTGTTCGTTATTTTTGTTAATGGAATTACAATTAAAATTTTTGTAACTAAAAACTTGTGGATATTTTGGTTACAAAATAAATAAAGCAAAAAAAGAAAACTTCAAAACAAAAACATGTGCCAAAAATAAAGTGTTAAAATCAAAAACAAGTGCAAAAGTGAAGCACAAATACAATCAAGATAAAACAAATCAAATAAAAGTGTCAATCAAAAAAACCAAAAAAAGCAATACAAATCAAAAATCTAGCCAAGTGAACTCGGGAATAGTGCAACCCACTCCTGCCTGTCACTTCCATTAGAAGTTGAAGCCGAAGCCGACATCGAGCTTTGTCGCCCCCGCTCTTGGTTGTTAGCAAACATGATGGACGTAACCAGCATGTACGGCAATCATCATCCTCATCACACCAACACCTATCATGCCGCTGGGGCAGTGGCGCCCGATATGACATCGGTGGCAGCGGCCGCCGCCAATGGCTATACAAATGCCTATTTTCCCAATACCCCGGTAATGGGTCATGGCGCCATGATGCACCATCAGCAGCCACCACATGCCCTGAACAGTAGTTATATATCTTACGATGGTACCTCACCAAATTACTATCAGCAGCAACAGCAACAACAACACCAGCAAACACAGCAAACTCCACCATTACATCATCATCAACATGGCCAACCACATCCGCCCCAATTAACACCGCCACCCAGCCAACCGTCCGCTGGCCATCACAGCCAGCCGTTATATGCCAGCCAAACACATTCTCATCTCTTCAGCCCCACAGCTGCAGAATATGGTATTACCACCTCGAATACCTTATCCGCCGCCACACCCACTCATCCCTCCACCAACAGCCAGTCACCCAGTGAAGCAGTCTACTATGACACCGACTCGGGGCATGCCTATTATGCCACAGTACCACCGGCCGGTACCAATTCCCCCATAACTCCAGCCAATACCACCGGGGGTCAGGCTACACAAAATGCCAGCACAGATCCGCCCATAATAAGCTCCGAAAATGGTCTCAGCTATACCAATTTGGATTGTCTCTATAATCAAAATTCACCCCATCAACAGGTCAACTATATGGCCGCCGAGGAAAAATATGCCTCGGTTTTACATTCCCAATATGGTCTGGATGACGGCCTGATGCATATGAACGCCCAGCAATCGGCCTCATCCGGAAATCAACAGACTTCTCCACAACTATGGCATCATCACCACTCCCATCAACACAGCATGGCCAGCGGGTATGGCCATGGACTGGATGCAAATGGTTTACCCCTCGATACCTATCAAATGCATCCACATTTACATTCACACAATATGCCGGGACAACATCAACATCTATCCTCCTCCAGTGCAACACATCACAATGTTGTTGTTGCTGGTGGTATGGTGGCAAATCAACAGACCGGTCTAATGCAACAACATTCATCGCCCAATAGCCTGGGATCTTCGGGTTGTATGACGGGACCCACTGTCAATAGTTCACGATCACAGCATGTTGTATCTCCCGGGGGTACAACCACAACATCATCGATTGTAACAAACACCTCTGCCGCCACCTCATCCTCATCGTCCTCGTCATCATCAGCAACATCGTCCGCATCATCGAATGGTTCTGTGGGTAATGCCGCGGCTGGACAAGCCAAGTCACCAAATCAAACGGGAAATTTGCCCACATACAAGTGGATGCAATTGAAACGTAATGTGCCGAAACCACAAGGTAAGTGCGAGGGATTTTTTCGTGAGATACTGCATTGGAATTATAATATCAAATACTGGGAGAATGATTTTGGGCATCAATTGCCAGGAAATGAAAACAAATATTAAAAAAATAGTCATGAGCTAGAAACATCATTAACAAATTAATAACCAATATAATTGATCATGTGACAATTAATTTGTGGAGAATCATAAAGGTATGATCAAATTCGAAAAAAAAAAAAAACGTTTGGCAAAAAGTACCGCCTGATTTAATTTGGTATACGAAAACGTGTTGATGTTGCCGGGCCTATCAACTGTATAGGTAAGGTGTAATTTTTCATCGACTTAAATTATATCTTCTTCGGCAGCTTTAAGGAAATCCAAATAAATTTCTCAATAATAAAACGTTGCAGCGAAAATGCAATCATGCAAAATACTTCAATTCTACATTCTGAAATAGTATATTTATCTACGATTTTTTCCAACAGTTTTCTAATAGATTTCTGTATTGGAATATAGTACATATTTGTGTTAAGTTTAATTGAAACATAACAAATAAATATTTTATAAAAAATCAGAAAATTTGTGAAGCAAAAACTGATCCATATTTTCTGTCTGAACACCTGCAATCAAATTCTAGCTCTTTACTACTAATCTATAGATGAACTTCACTATTTAGGATCATGGATGAGACAAATAATAAAGGAAGGGGGTTCAATTCTCACATTCAAAGTCGAATTTTTCGTATCAACAAAATAAAATAATAATGCTAGTATTTCTGTTTTTACACTTCCCGAATAAAATTTTGGAGTTGGATGCTTTCAGGTTCTTCAACGTATGTTTTCATACTTTCATTATTGTTATAGTTCTCAATTATTCGTATAATCATGGATGTAATTTTCACATACAAACCTAAGTACTAATGAAAAGACAAAGGTAAGGCGGTAGTCGGTTTGCAGTTTTATTCATAAAAATATATGTTTATATTGGAAATTTGCGATCGTTATTGAATACGTATAACGACTTAGAGCCACCGAATTAAGAAATGGGATGGAACTAATATTTTTTCTGCTGTAGGTGACATCTTGAAATATATTTGATGGCTATAGAGTGCATATTATGACTTCGAGAAGGCTTAAATCATAGTAGAAGGTAATCTGTGTTCATAATTATAACAACCTCTCACTGATAATATATAGATTCATAAAGAAAGCCCAATTAGATCTCAACTCATTTTGGTATTTTGGTTCGTTTCTGAATTAATGCAAAACAGTTCTGCAAAAATGTTACCGTGCTTTAGTGCTGACATGCAAAATAATTTCACAAAAAAATGGCAGTCAAAATTCCGTGACGATTGATTTTTAAAATAAAAAAATGCAAGTAAACAAGCAGTAAGTTCGCTGGAGCCAAATATTGAATACCCTTCACCATTTGAAAATAATTTGGAAATTAAAAAAATAAGTAAAAAATACATTAGAAAATATTGTTAAAATCATAAAAATACCGAATAAAAGGAGATGTCATTTTATCTACATGGAGAGATAAAAAAACTGCTACAAAGTCAAACGCCATAATTTTTACATTTTTTTAATCGATTGAATGAATGCCAAAAATGTCGAAAATAGCATTAAATTTTAGAATAATTTTAGATTCGTTCGAATTGGTCACCTTTGGCACGAATTATGGCCTTCAAACGGCCAATGAAACCGTCAAACGCTGCCCGAATGTTGCTCTGCGGTATTTTGGCCCATTCTCGGCGAAGCGCTTGCTTGAGGTGATCGACACTTTGGTATTTTTTAGTGCCCACCTTTCTTTCCAAAATACTCCAGACACAACAGTCCAACAGATTGGTATCCGGAGACTTTGGTGGCCATTGTGCACTAGAAATGAAGCGAGGAACCTCATTTTGTAACCATTCTTGGGTGGCGCGTGGAATGTCCATGATCTGCGGCAAAAATGTTTGCGTGCCCAAGGCTTTAATACACCCTCCAGAATATTATCGCGATAATATTCGGCATTTATTCTGATACCACGGCCGATTAATACGAGCGGAGAGCGACCATCGGCTGTTATGGTGGCCCATACCATCAACATGGCCGGCGCTTGAGTTCTGGTGGCCAACCGAAGGCACACATTTTCCGCAGACCTCTTTGGCAAGTAAACACGATCATTTTGTTTGTTTACAAACTGCTGGACAATGAATGTTTTCTCGTCGGAGAAAACCAAATTCGGCAGTTCACCACTTTCGACCAAGCGAAGCAACTCTTCAGCTCTTTTGAGTCTATTTTCTTTCTGTTGCGGTGTAAGTTCTGGCACTTTTTGGAATTTCAATGGCTTTACACCGAACTCATTTTTCAATATTTGCCGAATGGAATATTGTGATACGTTCAGCTCTCGAGCCATTTTTCGACCACTGCGACGCGGGTTTCGATCAAGTCGCTTCTTTACTTTTCGAACCATTTCTGCTTATATTTCTGTTTTCTTCCGTCCACTCCTCCGACGTCGGTGTACGCCACCAGTATCACGATAACGAGCGACGGTACGAGACATAAAAGATTTATTCACATTTAAATGCTGGAGAGCTCTAACGATAGCCACTTGTAGTTTTCCAGCCAAATATAAAGAAATCACACTATCACGCTTGAATTCCATCGCGAATAACTTTTTTTTTTTTTTTTTTTGGAAAATTCTGACCAAAATGCTTTTGTACGCTTGTAAACAATATAATGAGCTGTCACTGGAATAATTTTAACAGCTGTCGGACGAGTGGCTTGAAAATGACAGCAGTCTGAAGTTGGTTGCAGTCTTTTCATCTCACCCTGTTTATTCTTGATCAGCATAAAATCCCTTGTCGATTTAGCGATGTCCGTCCGTCTATCCGTCTGCCCGTCTGTGGAAATGAAGTAGGTTGATAAAATTTTACACTAATGTATGTTGTGTCTCCAGGACTTTTGGTATTGAAAATAGACCATGTAGGCACACGTTTTGGATAAAGCCCCCATATAATTGTACCTCCCTATTTTCGGTATGTTGGTGATTTAAGCGACATTATTCACCGAAATATTTCAATTTTGGCATTTGAAGTTCGTAATGAATACTACAGCATAGCTTAGAAAATGGACCATGTAGGTCCACGTCTTCGTATAGCCCCCATACAACGTGAACTCCCGATATTGGGTATTTTGATGATTTTAGAGACATTTTTTACCGGAACTATTTCAAATATGATATTTGAAGTTCGTAATGGATACTACAGCCTATGACAGAAAATTGTCCGTGCAGGTCCACGTCTTAGTATAGCCCCCATATAACAGTACCCCCCGATATTCGGTATTTTGATGATTTTAGCGACATTATTCAATGAAATTGTTTTAAATTTGGTATTTAAAGTTCGTAATTGATATTGCAGCCTATGACAGAAAATTGTCCGTGCAGGTCCATGTCTTCATATAGCCCCCATATATTCGGCATTTTCATTAATTTAGCTACATTATTCACCGAATTTTTTTCATGTTTCTCATTTGTTTATTGTAATGGCTTAGAACAAAATTTGCCTATGCATGTCCAGGTTTTTTTCACGTCGACCTCTAAAGTAGTGAGTCATTGTTTATATTAGGTATAGCTTATTTCCATACCATCAAGCTCTATTAACAAATCCAACAGGTTTCTTACTCTGCGAAATCTTTCATAACCCCTCAATATAAAATTATACCTGCACGTCTATCGTAAAAAAACAAAATTCTTATTTATCTTGAGTGCATCTGGAGATGATGCGACCGAGCGAACAGTCAGTCAGTCAGTATGCATCCCTGTATTCCACATACCTTCATTTTCGTATTAGCAATGTCAATGTCTTCGTTTTTTTTTCACTTTTGTCATGTCGTAACTGAAAAGTGTCATTACTACATTACTCCCATATCAGAAGAAGGAGAAAACAAAGATGTCATCCTACTGATATTTCAATATTCAACTGCGCTGCTGCAAAACACAGTCAGGCCAGACTGTCAACCGAACCAAACAGACGCCATCGTCAATGAATGAGGCAAACAAACAACAAAAGCAATAAGTATTGAAGTTTTGTTGTTGTTCTTATTCATCTTTTAGATTGGAATTAACCATTGTCGTCGTTTATTCTTTATTCTTTGTTGTTGTTGTTGTTTTTGGATTGGCTTTAAACCGCATCATGAGTCAAACAAGCCAAGTCAAACAAAACAAATAAACAATTTAAAATTGTTACTGATCTGGAAGTCAAGTTGGCTGTCAGAAAAAATTATTATTGAAATGCCAAGACAATACAGAAAGAAAAAAAATTAGCCAGAAACAAGCAGAAGCAACACTGTAAGGAGTAGAGCTTGTAAGTGAATAACTTACTGCTCTTGGAGTCGAATGCTGGCCGGGCAGCCAGCCAGTCCGTCAATAGTTTGGGAGCTACATTCACATTGCCTTGTATGAAAGTTTTTACAACGTTCGTTGATGGTGTCCGTCCGTCCGTTCGTTCATTCGTTTATCTTGTGCTATGGCAAGATTGTGCGTACGGTATTGAACATACCGTGCATGCATTCATACAAAAACCCCGCTACAGATTATGCGTAAGACTAATTATTGCAATTACAGCGGAACCTCGATAAATAGGTTGTAGAAAACCCTGACTTAGTAATTTTTTTATCCTTATAGAATCGTTGCTACAGTTAGAATCATCCAATATTCCGATATTGCTTTGCTCCTTTGAAAATCCAGTCACACTATAACCAGAGAGAGAGGGAGAGAAAAGAGTCGTAATACCTTCTCCCCAGTGATATTTAATTTTGTTTATTCCTTTCTTTTAATTTTATTATCATTTTTTTTTGTACTTTTCTTATTTGCTTGGTGTCTGACTGTGCACAAACTTGTACGCTTCATCTGTCATGTCATCCCCCATTTGGATACAAATGATGAAAAGAAGCTATAGAATGAATTGTTGGTTGTAGTAATTTTTGTGTTTTTTTGTTGGCATTTCCCAAGCTAGTATGGCTTTGTTGT